GTATGATTATATCGTTGGGTTTATTTGAGCAATTAACGTTGAGTTATAAACCGTGCACTTAAAGGATAGACATATTCTAATTGTGGATAGAAATATACCTCAATTGAATATGGTGGTTTTAATAATGTCCTAATCTTCAATGCGGTTAATTTTAGATGAATGTGAACCGTGACGGGATTCACACGTAGAATTATTTAGGGGTGGGCATAAAACTCGAACCGTACCGGTACCGAACCGTCTCATAATGGTACCGAACCGAATACCGGGTATTTAAACGGTTCTATAGATTTTTATCCCATACCGAAACCGAACCGTTTGAAACGGGTACGGGACCGGTCCTATATTTTGAGAACCGAAAAATACCGGACCGAACCGTTTGAAAATAATGCATTTGAATTTTTTATAATTTTTCTGTACCAATAGATCTCTTTTATAGACAAACAATTTTATAGTCCAAATATGTATTCATGCGTTCCTAAACTAACTAAGTGTGTGTGTTTAGATTATATATATTGTTATTTTTTCTTTTTAGATAATTTATGTTATATTTTGATATGTATTGAAAGCATATTAAAATTTTAGAAATCATTAAGGACTATTCATTTCTATTAATGTAGTGTACATGACTTTTTGTAGTATCATGTTTGCGCAATTTTACAACTTAATTAATATGGTTTAAATTTTAGCTCTCAAGTTTCAACTATAAATTAAATTAGAACTACGGAGAAATATTTAACCTAGAATGAAGAAGAAGAACATCGAAAATTTCTATTATATTCAACAATTTGATGAAATTCTTTTTTATATTTTCACATGAACTTAGTAAATTAAAGATGATATTCATCTCGTGCGTCATCTTCTTGTTATACTTTTTCTTAGTTGTGTTGCACTATTTGTGTATTTGTGAACTTTAGTACTATATATGCAATTTCTTGAATTTATATCAACATTTCATTTGAGTTGGTTGGTGTTAAGATATCTACTAATTGCAAGATTTGTTCAAAATTTTTAGCATGTGTTTGGCATTGTACCGTACCGTTTTGTACCATTCCGAAAAGACATGGTACCGAACGGTTTCATCCTTGAAACCGGACCGTACCGGACCGTTAAAAACCTAACGGATACATTACGGGTTTTATCAGATTACCGGAACGTTCCGGACCGCGCCCACCCCTAGAATTAATCACAATCTCGCTGCCGTAACAGGAGTTAGAAAATAATGCATTTGAATTTTTTATAATTTTTCTGTACCAATAGATCTCTTTTATAGACAAACAATTTTATAGTCCAAATATGTATTCATGCGTTCCTAAACTAACTAAGTGTGTGTGTTTAGATTATATATATTGTTATTTTTTCTTTTTAGATAATTTATGTTATATTTTGATATGTATTGAAAGCATATTAAAATTTTAGAAATCATTAAGGACTATTCATTTCTATTAATGTAGTGTACATGACTTTTTGTAGTATCATGTTTGCGCAATTTTACAACTTAATTAATATGGTTTAAATTTTAGCTCTCAAGTTTCAACTATAAATTAAATTAGAACTACGGAGAAATATTTAACCTAGAATGAAGAAGAAGAACATCGAAAATTTCTATTATATTCAACAATTTGATGAAATTCTTTTTTATATTTTCACATGAACTTAGTAAATTAAAGATGATATTCATCTCGTGCGTCATCTTCTTGTTATACTTTTTCTTAGTTGTGTTGCACTATTTGTGTATTTGTGAACTTTAGTACTATATATGCAATTTCTTGAATTTATATCAACATTTCATTTGAGTTGGTTGGTGTTAAGATATCTACTAATTGCAAGATTTGTTCAAAATTTTTAGCATGTGTTTGGCATTGTACCGTACCGTTTTGTACCATTCCGAAAAGACATGGTACCGAACGGTTTCATCCTTGAAACCGGACCGTACCGGACCGTTAAAAACCTAACGGATACATTACGGGTTTTATCAGATTACCGGAACGTTCCGGACCGCGCCCACCCCTAGAATTAATCACAATCTCGCTGCCGTAACAGGAGTTAGAATACTTTAGCGACATTCCACTCATAAGAATTGGTGAAAGAATATACATTAAACGCTAGGGGTCGTTTAGGAGTAATCCCGGACCCTAGGTTGCTTTTATTACCACTTTAAAACCAAAAATTTATACTCTTTTACTAAGACTTTTACAAATTTCATTCTCAACTTTTGAATCATATAAACAACGTTTCCTCATGTTCGACCCGGTATTTTTACCGGATTTTATTACTACATTGGCAATTGTACACTTGCAAGTTTAAGCCGATCATGAAGCATACTAAAACCAATTGTTATGTTGATGAGCAGGGTACTCCCACAACTAAACACGCGTCTACAGTAACACCCCAATATTTTTTTGTTTTTTCAGTACTAGAGTAATATAACTCGTGTGTAAAAACATGTAACTTACATTGCTGAGAAATGTAATTGCATGTCAATCGAAATGTAACTTGTCCAATACCGAGTATAAGAAATAAAACATTACTTTCAATGTAAACAATGAAAAAAAGTCAGTTGTTCAATTACTTTACGTAAATAGTGAATATGCTTTGTTTTTAATATCATGGCTATACAAAATGTTTTTTTTGTTTCAATAGCAGAAATTTATTTTGTGATGTAACTCGTGTTGTGGCAAATGTAACTTACGTATATGCAAAACGTAATTTGTTGAGACAAGTCAAAATGTAACTCGCGCATAAAGAGATTTAAGTCACGCATGCGAAGATATAACTCTCATCATGAAAATGTAAATCGTACCTAAGAAGATGTAACTCGCACATCTTGGACTTCGGACTTTGTCAACTTTTCCTTTTTGATTGCCCCAAAAAACTTGTCACTTTCCTATTAAAGCAACTAAATTGTGGTTCTGAACATTTCTCTCTCATCTGCACAAATCTCAACCACATAATTTTTACTATTCTTATTTTTCACCTACTTTGCACTTGTCAAAGTCTACCGGGACGGAAGTAGTATGTAATTCGCGCATAAGAGAGGAAACTTCATGTCATGCCGGCCTGACGGGCTGCTCCGTCCGGCCGATCCCGTTTGGGCACCTTCCCGGTGGATTTTTTTGATGAAATTTTTTGAACATGTTCCTCATCAAGTCTAGTTTGTCCATACCAAATTTCAGCTCAAAATTCGATCGGGAAGACATTCAAATTATTTTTTGAAGTTGACTGCAGTTTTATATGTATATTTTGACGCAGTCAACTTCAAAAAATGATTTTAATGCCTTCCCGATCGAATTTTGAGCTGAATTTTGGTATGGACAAACTAGACTTGATGAAGAACATGCTCAAAAAATTTCATCAAAAAATTGTACCGGGAAGGTACCCAAACGGGCTTGGCCGGACGGAGCAGCCCGTCAGGCCGACCTGATGAAAAGAGCACTCCGCATAAGAAACACTAGTATAGCACCCGTGCGACGCACGGGACATAAAGAGTAAAATAGAAACGGTAAATGAATGATTTACAATTTTTGAAATAATTTTCTATACTTCTATATAATAGTGATATACAAAGAATTTAAGTTTAAAGCAAATATCAATATAAAAAACGATGAGAAACCTTGTAAAGATGGTTGGAAGTTGGAACCCAAGTGGGTGAATAATTCAAATTCTCCAACAATTTCTTTGCAAATTTGGTACCGAGTATTACAAACTATTACAAATCCGAATGGTGTTTATTTTTTTATTGTTACTTAAGATTAATTTTTGAACAAATTACTTCAAGGCATAAGAAAAATTAACCATGATATACAGAGTTTATAAAACACACGGAGTACAAACTTACGAATAGTCCATAAAAGATACGTAGTAGTTCTAAGATTTGGACTGCTTTTTGTTTTACTAAACTTCTGGTCTGCTAATTAATTTTAAAATACAGAAAAGTTGTACTTCGAAATCCTAACACCATCACGGAAAACACTACACACTTCCTAGCCAAACACCGCCTCTACGTCGACGCTTAGCTTTCTACAAAAACCATCAAAAACTTACATCCGACCTCTCATATCTCCCGCCATAGCTCCAAATTTCAGCAAAAGAGGAAGATAAGCTATGGAATCGGGGATTTCAGATCTGAGTTTTCTCAGACCTGAGCCGGATCACCTTTCACTCTGTCGTCGTGCACCCACTGGATGTTTGTTTGTCAGACGAAGTTTGCTGCATCTGCGGAAGTTCGTCAGAACGTCCCAGGCATTGTCACCCCGCTTCTGGTTCAGCACCGCTATCGCCAGCTGGAGCGCCTACCGCTGCAGCGGAACTCACTCACCGTCGTACCCATCAGCTATAGTCCCCTGAAAAAAACCTAGATCTTCCAGGTCTGAAAAACTCGCTCCTCGCGAACCCAGCTCCTCAATCCAAATGTAGGGAAATCATGTCACTCAAGGGAGATGGGAACCAAACCCCGGCACATCAATGGCGCCGGCCAGACGGCCACTCGCTCTGAGTCGCGGCACCGCCACACCTCGATAGCCGCTAGCTACCCCACTTTGTTCGCCGCCGGCCACAGTCCAGCCAAGTACAACTCAAGCAACACCGCTTCAGACATTACTACTATTTATACGGGTCTTAAACTTGAAGTATGAGAAGGATTCAATTTCAAATCACATATCCCAAGGACTGCGCATTTCAGAATGTAGATTGTTACCCTTGTCTCGAAAAAAGGGTGGCTTGCGTGTGAAAATTAACAAAATATTTGAGAGGCTATGGAGTCACTTTGTCATTAATGCTGAGCATACATCCAATCAACTTTAACTATTGGACAGTGAGCTCCATCCGTTTTTTTTGTTGTCTTCCCCATGTTACGTGACCAGAGCATTGGCTAAAGCCACCCCTAAAACCCGACCCGGTTTTTAACCCATATTTTTGGGCGGGAAACCCGCCAGATTTTCCACTCCTTTTTATATAGAGATAGATGCGCGCATATGAAAATGTAATTTGCACTTAAAAAGATGTGACTTCCCATTGATTTAGAAGCGCTTTTAATTAGATTCCTCACTCTGTAGTCTGTACATTTCCGGCAAAAATGCAAAATGGATGTTGACCACATGGAGGATTTGAAATCTTCTACCTTGCCTTGCTCATACATCTGGACGGTGAACAATACTGAGTATTTCACTCGTTCAGAAAGGTGCCTTCACGTGGAGGCTCAATAATATTTCACTCGTTCCAGACTTCAGTCGTCACTGCTCGCGACGGCCAAACCTCTCACTTCACGCCGAATAGCCCCCGCTTCTCCCAGCGGACGAATCTTTCGAGTCTCGACGAAGAGCATTGTTCAGGTACTTGATCAGCTCGAGTGCCCGACAACTCTCTCATTATTCTCTGAGTATCTGCTATATTGCTAGTTGTTTATTTACCATATTCCCTCCTTCTTAACCTAAAAATGAGGGATTTTTAAATCTAATCTGCAGTTTTCATGAGCTTTGTGGGCTAAGGTTTTCTTTCAATTTGGATGCAAAATCCGTATCTTCTTTTTTTATTTCTATGTTATCATTTAAAAGTCTATATCTTTATGTTTATTTTCTGCCATTTCCTTCTTTTTCTCCTAACAAGTTTTTTCTTTTAGTTTCATTTGTTTCTTTTTATAACTTGTTTTATATTTCATAATTATAACTATGGTCTATACTTTATAATATATGGACGGTGAAACTTCAAGTGTTCCTGGGAATGTTGAAACGAAGTGCTTGAGAGCTGTGACTTTGGAATTGGGCTAGAATCTAACTAAATTTCAGTTTTACTATTTAAGACTTAAGTTATGGATTCTGATTTGGTGTTTTTTTGTGAGTAATGATTTTTGTATTACATTTGTTTCAATATTATGTTGAATATATCCAGCTGGATAGTTCTAGAACAGAAAACAAATTATTTTGTAAACATTGCCCTTGGAATGAGCCAGTAGAGGGCTTTTTGTGCCTTTTGCCTCAGGCAATAGAGTACTGTAGCGGCGAGCGCCTTGACTGCACCTTGCGACTTTGACTATCTTGGGTTTGTGTGCGCATACTCGCATAGACATTGACTTGCACTTTTGTCTGTGTACTTTGGCAGCTTGGCACAAAAACCTATGTCTGAAACTGCTATTATCTGTAAAACTGAATCTTCTTGAAATGCGTAAACATAATGTACACCAATGTAAAGCATTATTGATTGAACATTGCGTAGATGACACATACACATGTGTTTTTGGATCCTCCGCTTAGGAGGTTAGTAGGACTTGCTCACAACACTCGGTATTTCTCATAGGTCTTCCTTGATTTCCGATTCCTCCTCTAGATTAGAAATGTCATCATTTTCTGTGTTATTAGTCGTATGCATTGGCGAAGGAGATATCTGAATCCAGTCATACACAGTAATTCCTCTATTCTTAATTCTTAAACCCCATAACTGCAGGCACCAAAAAGATCCATAGGAAGAAATGAAGAACAACATTATGCGTAGGTGATATTATTAATTTCAAGAAACAGAGCAGTAGCAGCAGTGGTTACAAGATTTAGGAGAGTGTGATTTCTCTTGGCGAATTGGCCTCCCTCACGCTGCTACGGTGCTATTTCAGGAAAATTTCCATTTGGAGTTAAAAAAATAATCACAGCCTTTTCACCAGAGTGGTAGTGGTTGGCCACAACAATACAAGGTGAGAAATTAGTAATTTCTACATTTAATTTCTTAAATTTCTCTTTGTCGTCAATAATTGTTTAGTACTGTATTACATATATTCTTTTAGTTGGGTATGAATGTTGTGTATGAATAAGATTGTAGTCGTAAATCATTTAGGCATGTTTGTTATGCGAATGAGGAAGGAGTACAATGGGGGGGGGGGAGAATTTGTAGGGAATAAAAAAGAAAGTTTTAATTATACAATTTTTTATGTAATATGTGCTGAATAAGAGAAGGAAAAACCAGACGTGAGGAAAGGGTGTTCAATTTCTGATTTACTAAACCCCATAATTAACTTTACCACAAAATTAAGTAGGGAAGAAGAAGAGGTTATTACATTTTTTTACATCCATAATTGATAAGGAATATATTTTATGTTTCTTATTGTTTTGAATCGTCAAATATAAAATTTTAAGTATAGCAAAACTTACACTTCAATGCTTCGTCCAGGACTGATAATAATGGTTGAGAGAATGGGGTATACTAGTAATTTGGCATTTCAAGAAGCCTTAAATTATGTTTTTTTATTTCAATAAAGGTAAGTGTATGTTTTTTGCTACGTTTTTTGGTGCATTCATGTCTGCCTTGCATTATCGGAAGATAGAAAATTAGATAACTTATCAGCTTTCAATCGGTGTATGCCAAACAGGAATGCACCAAAAAATGTATATCTAGTTTTACTTTTGAAGTCATCAATATTAAACTTTTGTAAAAGGAAAGTAGACAGGGGTGGAACTAGGTGGGGTGAGCAGGTTCCACTGTCCTCGTTCTCGGGCAAAGTTAGTGTATATATGTATGTATGTATGTATGTATATATATATATATATATATATATATATATATATATATATATATATATATATGTATGTATGTATGTATGTATGTATGTATAGCCTCGGGTATCTACAAAATACATAATACCTCCGTTCTCTTTTAAATGCAACATTGGACTATTTACACTATTTTGACTCTACTTTGACTCTATTTTATTTATTAATGTAATACTAGTATAAATTAAATTTAAAAAAATATTGTTAAATTCCTCTCATTTTAAATTTTCAAAGGTAATTTTTTAACTTTTGCACTAATAAGGAATGAGCGAGCTTAGTGTAGTGCTTTGCTCGGTACCTGTCTTCATTAATTCATTTACTGCAGGGTCGATTCCAATCCTAGTAATTTTATACCTATTATATTGTTTTGCTATCATCCTTTGATTCCTTTCTCAAAGTTATTTCTTTTTTTGACAGTAAGTTAAATCCATTTCAACACATTCAAAACAACAAGTATTACTTTTATCCTCTCTTAAGTGGCGTACTATGTGTTATTTTCTATCCCCTCTTCTTTATATCTTAGAAGTTAGAACTTTTTTCTTATTTTTTCAAAACAAAAGTATGAATTGGTCTATATCAAGTAATGTAAAAAGTATCCAGAATTCTTCTATATTTATGCAAGATATGTTTTGAATAAAGTTACTTATTTTTTGTTGATTAAAATGAGATTATAATTACTTAATTTTTCTTGTATTTGGTGCAAATGGGTCAAAATTATTATTTAAATAGTATAAAGTGAAATAGAATCGTATTGAATTGAAAAAAATAACTTAGTTATACAAAATATACAATAAATATTCAAAAAAACTCTCTAGAATTGAAATACCAACAAAAAAGTCTAAAATATAAAATATTAACCAAAAAGTCTAAAAATATAAACAAAAACTAGTATATAGTTAATATAATGGTGACATGTAGTTTATATATATGTATATATATTCCAGCACTCCCTCATTATGTTCTCTGGTTCCACCTCTGAAAGTAGAGAAGTGAAATTGAATTATGGTTTAAAAAATGCCCCCCTTACTGGATGCACTCTTGCAAAGCCTGCACGTTTCTTACAGAAATCGCCGAGTTTGAGATTAAGCAGCTAAAACTCTACAATTTCCACCATTTTCTTTAAGAAAATAAGCCCTGCCATACTCACCCTCCTGTTGTTGCTGGTTTCCCATCATGTTTGCCTGACTCTGCCATTGATTATTGAATATTTTCCTATGGCTTCATTAACAGCCTCCATCTCTTCATTGTACCTAGGGGTTTTCTCTTTTTTTCTTGAGCATAAGCCATAAACCTCTAATTATCTCAGTTATCAGTGTTTCACCTGTACCAATTGATTGTATTCTCAATTTCTAATTGTCACTTTTATTTTAAATTTGTCATTGGCAGGTCTGGGAGGACTGTAGGAACCATTTTTTTAAGCACTTTAATTATATATACATAGTACTCCCTCCGTCCCATTGGACTTTGCCATCTTTTCATTTTTGATTGTCCCAAAAAACTTTGCTATTTTCCTATTAAAGCAATTAATTTGTGGTTTTGAACATTTCTTTCTCCTCTGCACAAATCTCAACCACATAGTTTTTACTATTCTTATTTCTCACCTACTTTGCACTTGGCAAAGTCCACCGGGACGGAGGTAGTATATATTAAGCACTTCATTGTTTGGACCCCCCTTCAGCTCCCTCACCTCCTATCCCCAACCCAAGGTCCGACCCTCATTTGCAAATTTCTGATTATTAGCAAACTACTTCAACCTCATCAATATTCATCTTTCTTTATAGCAAATGGAAGCTAAAGAGCCAATCATCATCACACGAAAAGAGGATATGAGAAAATGGTCAAGATGCGTAAGAGCCCAAGGCAAGACCATAGGTTTTGTACCCACGATGGGCTACCTCCACGAAGGTCATATTTCTCTCATCAGAGAAGCACAAAAACACGCACAAGCCATAATAGTCTCCATCTATGTGAACCCAGGCCAATTTTCTCCCAATGAGGACCTATCCACATACCCTAGTGATTTTCATGGAGATATCCAAAAGCTAAGGTCTATTCCTGGTGGTGTAGATGCTGTGTTCCGCCCTTATAACCTGTATAATCATGGAGACGAGTGTAACAGGAGTCAACAACAAGAATTGGTTAGAGGGGAAGTAAATGAGGTTTCTTGTGTGGGAGAAAATGGGGGAGGAGGGCATCAGACGTGGGTCAGAGTTGAAAGATTAGAGAAGGGGTTGTGTGGGAAGAGCAGGCCTATCTTTTTCAGAGGGGTTGCTACTGTTGTTACCAAACTGTTCAATATTGTTGAGCCTGATGTTGCTGTCTTTGGCAAGAAGGATTATCAGCAATGGAGAATTATTCAGAAAATGGTGAGATTGTTTTCTTCAATGTTATAGTTTGTTTATTTTGATGTGGAAATCAGGATAAATCACCTCACTTTTTTTTAATGTTTTCTACGTTTTTAATTAAGTTAGAATTGATTTTAATTTTAAGGTGATACTCACTAAAATAATCCCTACTTTTTGGGATTCTACAAAAATAATCCTTACTGAGAGTGTTCATAAAAATAATCCGAACTAATAATAGTGTCCATAAGAATAAATTGAGGTAAATTTAAATTAATGCCCATTTAACACTCTCAATTCCCTACCTCTATTTCCCCCTTCATCACTCTTCGTCTCGGGTAACACTTCTATCTTCTAACCTAGGAAGAATCACATATGGCGGAAATGATGTTGAAATTAAACGAGTTTTAGTTTGAATTCACTCCGATAAGAAGAGTGGAGAAGAGAAAAGTGGGAGTAGGGGTTAGGAGTATTAAACGAATATTAGTTTGAATTTATCTCAATTTATTTTTGTGGACACTATAGTCTATTGCTACTTTGGATTATTTATATGAATACTCTTAGTATGGATTATTGTTGTAGAATCCCTAAAACTAGAGATTATTCTTATGCATTTCGCCTAATTTTAATGTAGAGACTGCAATGTTTATATCATGATCGTATGGAATCTTTATGTCCTTTTTTGCTCTAATCCAAAAGATATGTTATTTCTAGTTTTTTATTTAGTTCGTTGATTACTGTGTTAATGCCACTTTTAGTACCCATTTTTAGTATTGTTACTTTTAGTCCTCTACCCCTCTGAGTATCGTGACATAGAACAAAGATTCTTTTTGTGCTTTTCTTTGATTTTTTTTTCACTTTTGAACCTCTTACAACTGTGATTATAACCTTAATTATTATGGAAGTGACACTTTGGCTCCTCCAACTATTGTGACAAAATTCAAAGACAAGTCTAAGTGTCACAACCACAATAGTTAGGGGTTGGAAAATGAAAATTCAAAGACAGATACCAAAAGTGTCCAAAAATTGTTTGTCATATATTCAATTGGCTAAAAGTGAAAATGTAAAGATGGGTACCAAAAGCAACATTGCCACAATGAGTAAATGTGAAAAACAGTAGAGGAGATGTTACAAACAGAAATCTGATAAAAAGTAGAGAGAGATGGTATTACATTTTTTTAAGGGTTGCACTCCTGCATTTAGTTCTTGGGTTAGATTCTATTTACTGTTTTTAAATTAAGGAGTTGGCACTTAAAAAAGAAACTGACTTCTTTTGATGCATTTTTTTGCATCTTTAGGTGCAAGATCTTGATTTTGGAATCAAGGTGATTGGTGCCGAGGTAATGCGAGAAGACGATGGCCTTGCAATGAGTTCTCGTAATGTGCGACTCTCGCCTGATGAGAGAAAACAGGTTATCTCATTTTCTTATATGTTTCAGTTATGTTTTCTTGAGAACAACAATGGCAAATTGGCAATTCTTACTGTTGTTTAATACTTTCTATGTGTAACTAACCTTACATTGTTAATGGAGGATCTTGGTCTAAATGTTGCAGTGTTGGCCATAGCCAATATGTAGATCCTAATTTTCAACTCTTAACTTCTCTTCAATATTGCATTTATTTCAATTGCTCAAGTTTTTTCTTGTTATTATGCAGGCTCTGTCAATAAGTCTGGCACTTTCAAAAGCCAAACTGGAAGCAGAGGTAGGTAGAAAGGACAATTGCAAAGAGTTGAGAAGTCTAGTCATCCAATCTGTAGAAAAGGCTGGTGGACGAGTAGATTATGCCGAGGTGAAATCTCAAACCGTTCAAACAATCCAACACTATTGCCTTCTCTATTACCCACCTCTATTTGCAGTGAAGTTATTTTTTTGACAATAAAACCTTTTCTTAACTGCTAGTTGATAGATGTGATGTATTATACTCATATCTTTTTCAACATGAACTTTAAAATGGTTGGTAATGTTAAATTTGAATAAATCTTTTGGGCATAAACATTACAACCCATTCGAGTAAAGGGTCAGATTGGTCCTCGAAGTTGCATAAAAAGGGTCAAATAAGTCCTTATATAGGAGGCTCTGTCCGGCCGTCGCCATTTGAGGTGGTTCCCAGTGGAATTTTTTGATGAAATTTTTTGAGCATCTTATTCATTAAGTCTAGTTTACTCATACCCAATTTCAGCTAAAACTTCAACCGGGAAGGCATTCAAATGAAGTCTTGAAGATAACTGCGTAGTTCTCTTCAAGACTTCATTTCAATGCCTTCCCGATTGAAGTTTTAGCTGAAATTTGGTATGAGTAAACTAGACTTAATGAATAAGATGCTCAAAAAATTTCATCAAAAAATTCCACCGGGAACCGCCCCAAATGGCGACGGCCAGACAGTAAGGACTTATTTGACCCCTTTTATGCAATTTCGAGGACCAATCTGACCCTTTACTACAACCCATTCTATAGGTTTGTTTTCAGATTATTGGTCATTTAGTGTTACTGCCCTTCTCCTTATCAAACAGTAACTTACTACACCTCGTGAATCAGCTTATAATTCTGAAATTTATACAGAGTACTTTTTAGTTATACTGAAAATTCATTTTATTAATTATTTAAATTAACTACAAATATTTATATGATTTTTAGTGAATTTCAGCCCCAACTTCAGCACAAGAATATGATAACTCTATCACCATATGATTATTGATAGTTGTTACACACATAGAGCAACCCTCTTGGTGAACAATACTTTTTTTTGAACAGTGGTGAACAATACTTAAAGAGTTAAAGATACGCTTATGATTACAATTATAGCAATTATGTTGTACTATGTCTTCTAGTGTAATTTGTTTAATTGGAAAGCCAGTAATCTACACCATTTGTTTCATTGAACTAATGCAATTCTACACCATTTCCTTGTAATGAAGATTGTTGACCTAGAAAGTCTAGAGCCAGCTGAAGTGATTAAGATGCCTGTAGTCTTCTGTGTGGCGGCTTGGTTTGGAAATGTCAGATTGATTGACAATATAGAAATCAATGCTTCTTGAAGCTGTTGACCAATAACATCTGGACTGGAAATGACTACTCAAAAGTCTGAAGGTTTTGCCATGTCAAACATTTGGATCTCTATTTGTTACACATACGTTACTTTGAAATGGTCAATGGTAGAATTTGTCATGTGAGTAATTAAACGGAAAGGTCCATTTCACATAGACCTTTGTTGTTCACATACAGAATCTTCTAAGCATTTGAAATTGGAAAGTACTTTGAAAAGGTCAATAAAAGTTGCAATTTGTGTAATCATCAGAAAAATCTCAGCATTTGAAATTTGAATAATGAGTACTTTATTTGATATCAGTGTTATCTAACAGAAACATCTTAGAATGGTAGGGTGTTTCCTGGCCCCTGGCCCCGGATTTCCGAAAGGAATCTGGGATTAATACCGAAAAAAAACAGAAATATCTTAGAATTTGTCTTATGAATAATGTATGCAATGCTATATCTGATTTCAGTCCGGTTTGCATCAAGTCATCAACTATATTTTTGGCAGTTCCTGGCCAGATTTTGAAGTAGAAAAAAACGTGTACAGATCAAACTGGAATCAACATATTCAGTCCAATTTTAGAATAAGCAAAGTGAATCAGCATTAGGCCAGGTCTTGATTCTGGAGTTGTTCATTGGTTTGGTTTTTATGAACATAATTGACAGGTCTTGGTTCTTGTTTGGATTCGCGACCAAATTCTCTGAAGTTGATGTAATTTGCACAGAAGTGTAGAAACTATGGTGATTAATCTGCTCTCCAAATAAAAAATTAACGACAAACAACAACAATACTAATAATAATCATCATCATCGGCACTGCAGTCTTCCCTAGGGTTTGAGGTCACCGCTTTTGTTGTTTCTTATGTGTCTAAGGTTTTATTTTCCGACCATCAGTGGCAACGCTTTTTGAACTGCTAATAGCATTTAATAATATATTTATAAACAAGAGGTGTTCCGCAGAGATTGGTTGTGATATCTATGGTGTCAGCTATGGCCTATGAAATATGAATATCTATTTTTCATACTTTCATGCATATATATTTTGGTGAATCCTCTCATTCTTGAATAACTACGGTAAGATATAGGGGTGGGAGTGGGGAATGAATTTTTAGAAAGGCATGGATTAGGGTGCAAATGAGCCAAACCAAAGGCACGATTAGGATGCAAATGAGCCGAGTCAAGCTCAAATATGAGTATGCTTGAGCTTGATAAGAATTCACAAGTTCGGACTCGAGCTTGGACGAGCTAAATAATTCAGAATTTCGGACTTGAACTTGAGCTCAACTCGAGCTCAGTTTGAGTTCGGTTGGAATTTGCTAATGAGTTTTTATACGTCTGAGATTCCGAGCTCGAATTAAATGTTTGAAGTGCTAAATTATTGATATTAGATTCATATACATAGTAAAAATTATATTTTTTGTACTTAATCGTTTCCATTTTTTAGTTCTCTCCTTCACTCGCATGTTTATTCCTTATTTTACCATCAACAAATATTACCGATTATAATTATTACATATTATGATAATAATAATAATAGATATTATTATATTATATAATTTTTACTCTATAATGTACTCCGTAATAAGTATTGAAAATGAAGTAGTCCTAAATTAGAATACATATTCCAAATATATTATATACTACACATATAATAAATATATATAAATATGTTTATACACACAGGATTACAACTGGCTTGTGAGTCAAATACCCGAATCAAAGTATCAAACCGAACTCGAGTCGAGTTTGAACATGACCGAACTCGAGTCGAGTTTGAACATGACCGAACTCGACATCACACCCCTAGCGGGGATGTTTAGGCAGCGATCAACTCGACATCGATTCAATATTTCTGAGTTATCGTCTTATCAAGTCTAGGTTATTGCTTTTTAATTAATATACTCCGTATGCTATTCAAAATGCTCTTAAATTGCTCGTGTGTGAGAGTTGTCCGAGTCACATCATCACATGTAATTTGAATCGGCTGTTTGAATCTAATATAGGCATTTATATCACAAATAATAAATACTACTCCGTAATATTTATCACACTAATAATAAATAATAGTACTAATAATAAATTCGGTGAACACACTATACAAGGGAATGTACGTGTCACATGTTATATATAGGCTACAAAGTGAAATGTGCAGGCGTGCAGCAGCAAATAAAATGGAATGATATAAGACTTCTGATTTCCGGTATTGCCATCCTAATGAAACAAAATTAACATTTGAAACCCCCACAAACTGACAATACAATAATCAGAATCAAGGCGATGATAATCCCCAGGACAATGAGCTTTATCTTCATGTTCTGTAACCACATCTTCCTCCTCACCTGAGTTCCATTTGTTCTGAAATCTTGTGCCTGCAATTACCAAAGATGATTGGCATTGAATAAAAGCGAACAATGAAAACTGTGACTGGTGTGGAATGATACTAGTGATATGATCCATATGTATCCAGCACAGAATTTTTATTTGTTGCCATTAAGGTCCGTAGCAATTTTTGAAAATAAAGGACTAAATACGTTCTTAGTCACTCAAAGTTTTGGTCCCTAAAAATACACTTGTATACTTTTGGTATCAATGATAACCCCTTGGTCCATAGTTAAACGTCATTCTTCCTTCATTCATCCATACATTATCTCATCTTTCCTTTTAAGGATTTGATCGATTGTGTAGTTGATAGTCCTAATTTTTGTCTCCTCCAAACAAATGTGCTTTATACAATTTGAATTTTATTAGAAAGCTTGCAAAGTCAAATGACGAGTTAAAATTGTCATGCCACACAACATATGTGCCACATTAGCGAGGGACTAAATCAGAAAAAATGGGTTATTAGAGGGACGAAATGAAAACAAGATGTACTTATACTGACAAAAAAACATATTTAGCCAGAAATAAGTGTATGATTTAAATGAATAGAAACAATCAACTCCACAATTAACTTAAGTTAAAAGTAACAGAACTGAACCTAAAATGTTTAATTCAAATCGCTCCAACTGACCTGTGAGCGAAGGTTCTCACTTTTGTCTACTAGAATCTCAATCTTCTCACCACGGTCAAGAACCTGTAAGATCAAAATTGATCATCTAACTGCCAATAACTCAATAAGTATGTCTTAATTGTTTATCTAAAGAAGAGTATATAGTTTGCCAACTTTACCTTTTCGATGTTTTCCATCATCACCCCTTTGACTTCTGAAACCTGAGCTTTCACCTTTGCTAGCTTACTGATCTCTTCTGGATGATCCACACAGTACTGCATCTGCTCCTTCATCTTGGGCCTATACAGAACAATATATCATTTTCAAGATTAGCATCTTAAACTGAGTAGAACTAGTGGAAAACAAGGAAAAGTTATACTGTTATAACTAATTGAACTATTAACTAATAATGAAACATGAGATACCCGAACTCTCTATTCAAGCTACCAGCAACAGCTGTAGCGGCTTTTCCACCTCCATATTTCTTGGTAAACTCTTCCTTAATGCGTTCAAGAAATGCAATAGGAATCTGTCTGCCAACAGCTTCTACGGCAACAACACAATATGCTGTTGTATGAAATCACAATTAGTTAGATAGAAAAATAAAATATAAAAAGAGAAACCATAGGCAGTAGAAGTACTCAACTAATTTATTAGGAAACCGAGGTTCTTATAACAAGCATGCTATTTAAAGTTAACATAGTAAACTCTCTGGCTAATAGCCAAATCACAGAATGCCCTTCCTCATGACATAGTATTTATAGGATATATGCAATAAACAAGCGATCATGAGTAGTAAAAAAGGGCTAAAACCTCCAGTTCTTCATAGCTTTAAAAGATTTATAGCAGATCCAGAAAATGTTTCAGTGTATGTGATGAACAAATATCTTAAATATAAATTCCTCAAGGATTTCTTCCATTCTTGACCTAATTGGTTTGAGAAGGTTTTGTTGTTGAAATTGGTATAAATGTTTAGTTCCATTTTCAAAATCAACAGTCTACATAGTGTTTTATATATTCTCTTCTTTTTTTTTTCCCAAATTGGAGATTTATTTTGCAATATCCAACTTTGGAAATTGGGAGATATGAGCATGCTTTCCAAATTCAAAAAATCTAGAGATTTATCCCCGTAAGCAACCCATAAGTTATTAAACTACAACAGTCAACTTCTGGATGAGTTCATTTTCAAATTTAAAAGCTAGAGTTTTTCAGGATCTCCTGATTATGTATGTAAAAAGTGATCCAAACTAAAGGTCTCAATTCCATTCACATAGAATGAAATTTTTTCCAATAATATAGGCTTTACCTTGGTTTAATGCCAACATTTGGAGATTTAAATGCGATCTATGGTCTAAATCTAATTTCCTCAAACGCCAATAGCACATGAAGGTTAAGCATCTGCTAAATTATTCATTAAATGAAAACATAATTACTCCCACCTAGATAATCATATGGCTCATATCAAACCAGGCAAGCTCAGATAGGGAACGAAGGAAAAGTCGGACAGATACAGGCAACTAATGGACTTACTGAAGCCATCATCGACGAGGTAGTTGAAAGTGTGGCCATCGCAGTCGTAAGTGAACTTGTTGTTGGTAGCAGGAAGTTTCTGGAGGCATTGCGAAGCTATGCTGGTGAAATTGCCGGTGAACTCCGTGTACTCGGAGAGGATCACCGTGCCTCTCGCCACAAAGCTGTAGATCAACGACTGCTGCCCCATTTCCGGCTGCCTCTTCTCCCAAACCAAACCCTAGTCAATGGAGTTCTAGAGAGAGAAATGTAGGTGTGCTGGTCTGGTAATCTGGTATGCTTGGGGCTAGAGAGAGAGAGGAAAAAGAGAGGCGTTATGAAGTATGATGCGGGAGATTGAAGAATTTGATTTCGGTGGCACGAGAAAGCAGAATAATCACTTCTCTTTAATGAAAAAAATATCAAAAATGCTTGAGGTACACACTTTCTGTACACACTTTGTGTACACTCGTCTGTCTCTTAAGAAAATTTTGTCTGTCACAGACAATTCACATATGAGTTGTCTGTGACAGACAAAATTTTCTTAAGAGACAGACGAGTGTACACAAAGTGTGTACACAAAGTGTGTACCTCTAGCATTTCTCAAAAAATATTGCTGTATTTGTTTTCAAAACACCAACCGAGGACCCACAATTCCCATAAAAGTTCTCAGTCTACACGCCTCACATGTAGAAGCTGGTTTTTACTTTTTACCTATCTTGTAAAAACCCGACCCGGTGGCGGCCTGACCGAATGACCGGAACACGGGTCAATTTGGAATCGGTGAGTCAACCTGGTCAATGCCAGAAAACCCGATCACGTAGAAGTTAAATTATTAGTCTAAAATATACGGAGTACAAGTTTTAACAAAATATAAAATGTATTTTAAATTAAACTGACATTAAAATGTATGTGAACGTGATGCTTAATTAAAAAATTAAATATTATATAAATACTTTCACTTATTATGATAATGATAATATGTGGTGTTTATTAATGTTGGTATATGCTGATTAGGGAGTTTTAAAAAATATTATTAAAATAACTTATTTACACAAATATGATTAATAGTTAATACAATATAGTGTCATGTCATTTAAATTTAAAATTTGAACATAAATTAAAATGATTAAGTTACTACTATAGTCACTAGTCATATTTTTTTTAATAAATAATCATTATTTTAATCATAAATATGATATACGGTTAAAAATAGTGATTTGATGGGTTACCCAGCTGGATTGTGTCTAGCTGACCGTGTTCCGGGTCGACCTGCTTGGTTCGGTTTGGCTCTTAAGACACATTCATAGGGTTTTTACCAGCCCACACATACGATTTTATACATATTTATTTATATTTATAATAGATAAACTATCGACATACATATAACTAGGATAGAGTATAAAAACAAGTCCAATATTGTGGATCAAATAAAGAGGAAATATAAAATTTATATAATCAATTATTTCTAATTTGTGTGCAAGAATATAAAATTATTAATGTGTGTTATTTATGATTTTCTTAGTAGTCACAAAAAAATTATAGGAAAAACTACGGAATGAAATATTATAGGAAAATGCTTTTGGTACACAAAATGTGTACACAAAATGTGTATACATGTCTGTCCTTCGGATAAAATTTGTCTTTCATAGACAATTCATTATGAGTTGTCTGTGACAGACAAATTTTCTCCGAATGACAGACATGCGTACACATTTTGTGTACCCAAGCAAAATCTAATATTATATGTTCCTCTAGGATATAATAAGTTGGTAGCTCCCCCTTCATTATTGAGACTAACAATAGTCAAACTTTGATGTTAATTTTTTTAATTTGCCCCTAAGTTAAGTTTTTTTTAAAGAGCCCTATGATATGTTTGGGAGATTGAAGGGCCCCTAAGTTAAGTTTTTTTTTTTTTTTTTAAAAGAGCTCTATGATATGTTTGGGAGTTTGAAGGGAAGGGTAGAGGAAGGTTTTGAATATTAGTCATTGGAAGGGAAGGGAAAAGGGAAGAAAACCCTTCCAATTCAATGACGTTTACTTACTAGACTAGATTCGATCATGAGTCATACAAAATTGTTATTACCTTAGTCTTCTCACTTATGCAAAGTTGTTGGATCACTTTTATACTCCGTATTGAATATGACTTTTACTTCGTATCTTTACTGTGTAAAAGTTTAATAATGCAAATGATTGACCCGTCTTTGTAACTTAAATGATCATGAACAAAGAAGACTTCCTCAAACGACGACTGAATTTAGGTCATTTTATTTGTACGTGTGTCAGTGTGTGTATGCGTTTTGTCAAGTACAGGCTGTACAGCTGACCAAGCATTTCACCGGCCAAATTTTATTTTTCAACTTGTTAAAACCCAAGCAAGGTTGAAAATGTCATTCCATATATTTAAACAAATCAGACCAACTTTAAGAGACATACATCACTTTTAGAAAATGAATATCAAAATTAGAGAATATGAATACAAACTTTTGTCTCAAATTTGACATTAAATTTAAATAAAGGGACATCGATTGCGAATATCATGATAATAAAGTACACCATCAAATCCACTAGCCATGTAATAAGTTCAAAATTAATTGATACATTATCAGTATCAAATATTATTGATAATATGTTCATCTTTTCATTCAAATTTTGATACATTTGATCATTCTTGGTATGCAAATCGACATTAATTGATGTTTCTTTATGATTTTGATCAAAGAATTTAAGAATTGCCTCTTAGGTTTGGAAATAAATATGATATTTAATACTTCTAATACTTCTCTGATATGGGTTCAAAAAACATTGGTATTAATTTAAATTCTTAATTTTTTTTAGTTCTGCATATTCTTTTATATAGTTTTCTTTAATGCTGATAATATTCACAATATCTCAATAAAACGAAGTGTGGATATCTTTTTTTTTTGTTCATATGAAATTGAAGAACAAAAATACTGAAATATTCACACATTGACTTATGTTAAAGAAGAAAACGTGTTATAGGCTTTTAGCCTACAAGAGTTTGATGGTTTCTTGTTATGGTCATAGGTTGGAATGTTTTAGCATGCGTCTCCTTCTTTGGTCTCCCAATGCTATAGTTTTAAGTATCTCTTACAAATATGGGTCTTTAATTTTTTGTCAAGAAAGTCAATTTATACTTTTCAAAATATTTACCAAATACTTTTGATTTCGAAATAATTACATATTTCATATTTATGACTAAAACAAATGTTATATACAAAAGGTGACTTCTTAACTAATCTTAAGTGTATTGACTTCTTAAGGTTATTAATATGCCATAACTTAACCATAGTAATTTATGTTCCATTATTACGCTTAAGTGACCGTAACATTATGCCCATAAACTTTGCTCATATTTTTGTAAATATGTTTCATTATTATAATGTTTCGAAAAACCTCTCTTTCATTTCGTTCTTTATTGTTATATTTTACCGATACCAATAGATCGATCTTAAAAACTCTAGTGCAATTTTGAACAAAATTAAACGAAGTCATGAAAAACATGGAATTGTCTTAAATAGGAGTAAAAATATTTACGAATTTCAAATAAAACTACTATATTTGTATTCACTTAAAAGTAGTGACTATGCCATGTTTTGGTATTATTAAGGTTTAGGAACTTTTTACTTGGACTGTAATTTGCTGGTCTGATCTAGTCTGGTTTCTTTGTAATTTTATAAATATCCAAGTTTGGTCTGGTTTGATCTGATCTGGAACGAATTACAGTTCAAGTAAAAACATCCTTAATCACGACATTGTTTTTCAAAATTATGAATAATTACTCATATTTAATGAATAAAAACATAATATATTTATTTTAGTATCTTAAAACATTTATAATCTTGTTTCAAAAAATTTTCTTTAAAAATAAAACATGAAGACAAGGTCATAATATATTCCGATAAAATAAGTTCTTAGACTGATTTTCTTTAAATTGCCTTGGTGATTCAAAACCATTGTTTTGTAAATATGGATCAAATATTTGCGACGAATTTTTTTCATCAATTAACATGACTTGGAATTAATATACTTTCAAAAGAAATATTCCTTCATATCAAAATAACTGCCTCATTTAATTTTCCCGTAATTTGAGATAATTTACATAATTAGTGTACACTTCACAAGCATGTGAGATTTTTTTGTACTACAACGATATTGTATACTTTATTAAAGTACATAGTATAATGTAAGTGATTTTAATATAAATTTCTTTCCTAGGAAGAAAATATGAGAATTATTGTGATACGAAAGGAATTGAAGTACAGAGTATGTCACTTGCTTGTGAGAATGATTACTCTTTTGAATAGGGTGCTGATTTTGAGGCAGATTTTGCATTTTAATTAGGTACGAATATAACAAGAGCAAAAGAAATGAGCGACAACCAATAATGAACAGTAGAGAAAAGTATATAGCTAAAACCATCATCACAAATTCATAATATCAGAAAGAAACATATAACTATTACTCCCTCAGCCCGTTAAGATTGTTTCATCTTTTATATTCGATTTGTTTCACAAAGATTGTTTCACATTACTCTGAAGCCGACAAGTGTTTCCAACGCTTACCCTCCATTGATAAACCCATTGAACTGCCAATACGAGAATCTTGATCAGCTCTCCAAGCCAATGTCTGCTGAAGCGAGAGTGTCTCTATTAATAATATATAATAGATGACATATTTGTAATTTCCCCTTTCCATTGCTTATTATAAATATACACATGTGGACACCCTATGAGGTGAGGCCATTATTTGTGAATTATATTTCCATATGGTATCAGAGCACTCGTTATCTCTCGTTCACATAGCCGCACAACATCTTCATTACGTCTCTCATGGCCTCGTCTTCCTCAGCCGCAGCTCCTACAGCGCCTGCCTTCTCCTCGTCTACAATTACAACAACTATGGCGCCCATGTCTCCGGTGCAGCCTTCTTCAGTTTCGGTATCCTCTCCAGCCTCATCGTCCGTTTCTCGGCAAGCAGGCTTCAATATTCCGCCTCCATTGGGATCATATCGTTTATTCAATATGCCGGAACCCTTCTCGTGGAACCCCGCATCTACCGGGTATAGAGCGCCATCTTCGGCAGCGCAGTTCTCCACGTCCCCTGCAGTCATGTGTTCCACGTCTATTCATCCTCATGTCGCGTCATCCTCAAGCATCGACGTGTCCGGGCAGCCTGGTATGGTCTCTTTTCCGCCGCCACCACTAGTCCAGCTGCCAGGTTCTACCACTTCTTCTACTCTTTTGGCATCTTTGGCTTCACAATTAGCGTTTTCTACACCTAATGTGACCAATATAGTTACTACTAGATTGAATGTCGTTGAGGATTTTCTTCCGTGGAGTACCCAATTCGAGTCTTTCCTAGTTTCCCATAATCTTTTTGGAATGCTAGATGGGTCCATCTTGGCTCCAACACCGTTTATTCGTGATACTTTTGGACGGGAAACTCCTAATCCGGAGTACCATCATTGGTTGAAAATCGACCAAACCATTCGTTCATGGATCTTCGCCACTTTGTCCCGTGACATTCTAATGGAAGTTCATCACCTTAAAGCTTCTGCCCTTGTATGGGAATGTCTTAGGGCGAGGTTCGTGTCAGCTTGTTTGGCTCGGTCCATGGAGCTCAAACGACAACTCTCGCATGTTAAAAAGAAAGAAAATCAAACTATGGAACAATATTTGTTAGAGATTAAAGTTATGGCAGATAACTTAAATTTGATTAATTCTCCTGTTACTAATAAAGATTTGATTGAGTATACTTTTTCGGGCCTTGGTCCCGAATATGAATCCTTGATCACGGCTGTTTCTTACTTTCCCGGTGGTGCCACGCTTGAGAATTTACGTCCGATCTTGCTAGCACACGAACAACGAGTTATTTATCTCCGCTCCCAGGAACTTCCCCCAACTCATCAAGCGTTTGTTGCACGTAATGGACCTGCGGATCGTGGTGGAACTCGCGGACAGGGAGGAGGCCGACAGCAAGGATACCGCGGCCAACGAGCTGGCCGGGGTCGCGGCCAGAGGGGGAGGGGTCGTGGTCAATTTCAGCATCAATTTGGTAATTTTCCGCATCACTATGGCCCAACTTTTCCGCCCCAGGTGCAAGCTGCTCACGGCCAGCAGGTTACATACGGCCAGCAGTCTTATGGACCTCCACGTGGACCAGTTCAGGCTGCAAATTCAGGTGCACTTATGAGTAATTTTTGGTCTGGTTATTCATACTTTAATCATTTATCTTCTTGCGGTACTCATAGTAATTGTGCAGGTTTTCCATCAATGGACAATCATTTTTCCAATCCACCACATCCAGTTGTTTGCCAAATTTGTTTTTCACCAGGTCATTCTGCCCTTACATGTCCTCGGTTCACTGGGTCCTCTACGCCTGCTCTAGCTGCTATTCCCTCGGGTGAGACAAATGCCACTGTGTGGTATCCTGACTCAGGTGCCTCTGCTCACATGACCCCACACGAAGGTATTTTATCTTGTAAATCTCCTTATACTGGCTCTAATAATGTGCAAGTTGCTAACGGTACTAAATTACCTATCTCTCATGTTGGTAACGTTAAAATTAATACATCTGGCCGTCCCCTTACATTAAACTCCGTTTATCATGTCCCGCATCTCAAATATAATTTATTATCTATTCATAAATTATGTGCGGATAATGATTGTACGGTGATTTTTAATAAAAATTCTTTTTTTATTAAGGACAATCAGACGGGGGTGCATCTTCTTCAGGCTTCCAATAAAGACCATCTTTACCCTTTTCATGCTCTTCAGACTACTCTACTTCCTGGACCAACATGGCACAAACGTTTGGGGCATTGTGGTGATAGAGTTTTAACTACACTTCGGCAAAAACATTTTATTTCTGCTTCTAGTACTTTTCATCATGATTGTGTTTCATGTAAGTTGGGTAAATCCCACAGACTACCTTTTCAGGATGTTATTCATTCGTGTGCTGCTCCTTTGGAGCTTATTCATTCAGATGTTTGGCAGTCGCCTGTTTTATCCAATCTTGGGTTTAAATATTATGTCTCTTTTATTGACGATTTTTCTCGTTATACTTGGATATATCCTATGCGCCGCAAATCAGAAGTTTTTCATCATTTTTGTAATTTTCAAACTCTTGTTGAAAATCTCTTGAGTAGAAAAATTAAATTTTTTCAAAGTGATGGTGGTGGTGAATTTGACAATATTATGTTTCACAATCATTTTTTAAAAACAGGTATTTTATTCAGAAAATCATTTCCTGATACTCCCTCTCAGAACGGCGTAGCAGAACGAAAACATCGTCATTTACTTGAATTAACTAGGACAATGTTAATTGAATCTTCTCTTCCTCCTAGTTTTTGGGTAGATGCTCTTTACACAGCTACTTATATTGTCAATCGCCTTCCTACACCACTTTTGAAAAATTTAACTCCCTTTGAGATGATTTTTAATAAAGTTCCTGATTTTAATTTTTTACGTGTTTTCGGGTGTGCTTGTTTTCCAAATTTCATTGCCAAGTCTTCAAATAAGCTCTCACCGCGCTCCATTTGTTGTGTGTTTATTGGGTATGCTCCGGGCTATAAAGGATATCGTTGCTTAGATCCTTTAACTGGTAGAGTTTATATTAGTCGGGATGTCCAGTTCCATGAACACAATTTCCCATATCCTCACCTGGTCCGTTGTCCACCTACCATGTCTCCTCTATCAACCTCCTGGCCAATCACATGTATACGGTCCCCTCAATTATCCTCACCACCGGTTCCCACCATTTCTCCAGCTAATCCCACAGCTCCTATCTCAGACAATCCATCACAACCATGCATCATGTCACCCGTATTACCCACTACGTATGCTCCCTCTTTCCATAATAATACTACACCACAAACCCCACACAATACTCCACCCGCATCCCATAATAATACTCCACCACAAACCCCACACAATACTCCACCAGCATCCCCCACCTCGCCTGGCAGTTCATCGAATGGCAGTTTGTCCTCAGTGGACAGTCCGCCTTCCAACAGTTCGTCCATAAGCCCGTCACCTAGCCCGGTTGCTAATATTCACCCCATGCAGACCCGCTCTAAAGATGGGATTTTTAAACCTAAGACCATTTTTAATTTAAGTGTTCTTGCACCACCGGATGATCCGACATGTTATTCTCAGGCACAAAAATTTTCTGTATGGCGGGATGCTATGGCTGATGAATTTAATGCATTACTAGCAAATCAGACTTGGGAATTAGTACCTTATGACTGCACTAAAAATGTAGTTGGTTGTAAGTGGGTTTACAAGACTAAATATAATTCTGATGGTTCTGTTGAGTGCCACAAAGCGCGTTTGGTTGCTCAAGGGTTCAAGCAACAGGCAGGTATAGATTTCACTGAAACCTTTAGTCCTGTTGTTAAACCTACCACTGTTCGTCTTGTTCTGTCCATCGCTGTTTCTCTTGGTTGGTGTATTCGCCAGCTTGATGTCAAAAATGCATTTCTTCATGGCCATCTCACAGAGGAAGTGTATATGCGTCAACCTCAAGGTTTTATCCATCCTTCTTTCCCTAATCATGTTTGTCGCCTCAAAAAGGCGTTATATGGGCTCAAACAGGCTCCTCGTGCCTGGTTCCATCGATTCAGTGGGTTTCTTCTCACGCATGGTTTTTCTCAGAGTAAATCTGATTCATCCATGTTTGTGTTTCATCGTGGTTCTGAGGTAGTATACGTTCTTTTGTATGTGGACGATATTTTAATTACTGGTTCTTCTATATCATTTGTTCGTCACATTATTCAGTCCTTATCCACACAGTTTGCCATGAAAGATTTAGGCGATATACATTTTTTCTTGGGTCTTCAGACTCGTCGTACACCTAAGGGATTATTTATTTCTCAGCAAAAATATATCTCCGACTTATTACGACGATTTCATCTTCACACAGTGAAACCCGTTCGCACTCCTTTACCGTCACGAACCACCCTTTCTCTGACTGATGGTGAACTTCTCACCGATGCTACTGAGTATCGTAGTATGGTAGGTGCATTACAGTATTTGATTTTGACTAGACCTGATATTACTTATGCTGTGCATTTGGTCTCTCAGTTCATGCATGCTCCTCGTACTACTCACCTTTTGGTTGTGAAGCGTATTTACAGATATTTGCAGGGCTCAGTAGATTATGGCCTATGGCTTCAGTCCAATCCCGATATCTCTCTCATTGTTGCCTATTCTGATGCGGATTGGGCTGGTTGTCCGGATAGTAGCCGCTCTACCACAGGTTATGCCGTCTTTTTGGGTAGTAATTTAATTTCTTGGAGGTCCAAGAAACAACCTACCGTGTCAAAGTCATCCACTGAAGCTGAATACCGTGCTATAGCGTATACGGTTCAGGATACTCTCTTCATTCGATCCTTGTTGACAGATATGGGCATTACCATTTCGGCCCCTGTGCAGCTCCGGTGTGATAATGTCTCGGCTTCTTATCTTGCTATAAATCCTATACAACATGATCGTAGTAAGCATATCAAGATTGACTACCATTTTGTCAGAGAACGTGTTGCTCATGGAGATCTTGTGGTCAAATATGTTCCTACACAGTTGCAGTTGGCAGATATTTTTACAAAAAGCTTATCTAGTCAGCGGTTTGAGTTTTTACGTGCCAATCTGCGCGTTGTTTCCCCTGCACAGATTGAGGGGGTGTAATAATATATAATAGATGACATATTTGTAATTTCCCCTTTCCATTGCTTATTATAAATATACACATGTGGACACCCTATGAGGTGAGGCCATTATTTGTGAATTATATTTCCATATCTATAGGTATGATACCCAGCACCAAACATATCCTCCCAATTAGCATAAGCACCATTAGAAACAAGTTTCCCATCCTTGTAAGGATGTTTTTACTTGGACTGTAATTTGTCCCAGACCAGACCAGACCAGACCAGACCAGTCCAGACCAGTCCAGACCAGACCAGACCAGTTCAGACCAGACCAGACCAGACCAGACTTGGATAGTTATAAAAATACAAAGAAACCAGACCTTACCAGACCAGACCAGACCAGATCAGACCAGACCAGATCAGACCAGACCAGACCAGACCAGCAAATTACAGTCCAAGTAAAAACATCCTAAATGTCTACTCGCTTGCGTTTGTAATAGCTTCTCAGTAACACGATCCTACCATCCCCAAAGAGATACAAGGGCTTGCAACTTATGGTGATGAAAAGGAATAGAAACTATTTTTGCCAGAGATCCTATGTTGCCATATTCTTCCATCACCAATACAGTGTAGTTCTCATAACAAAAGAATCCCAAAGCGAGATTTCCATTCAACACGCCCAATCTAGGTGACACCCAACTTCTAGACTGGTGTGGCAATGCAAAAACACAATACTTTTCAGTGGTTAAAAGAAGTGAAACCATCACACAAGGGCCACGCCCCAACACTTTTCTTGCAATCCAATGAGGTGCGCCATTCCAGAAGTTGTTAGCATACCACTCGAAATCGTGGTAAGGGAAGCCCTCAATTCTTCTCCAGGAGGTTTTAACTGAATATAAGTTAACCTCAGATCCAAAATAGTTTTGAACGTCACTAAAACAAACCATTCTCAAGACCTTGTAGCCATCAGAGACTGGGTCATAAGCTAATCCATATGAGAGTGTTATAAAACATAATGACTCTGACGACTCATCAACATGAGTAGGACAATCTAGAAGCCTTTTCAATTCTTTAGTCAGAGGGTTCCATAAGAAGACACATCCACCATTGTTTCCCACATAGAACAAGCCGTTACATGAGCTGTAAATTTTACACGGTCCTTCAAGCTCATTTGGAACATCAAGTTTAACAGCATCCCGACGAAAGGTTTCATTGGGGAGTAAATTGGATATGGAGCACGAGTACAGGAGTTGAGGGTTGTACCTCACTATGTGGTTGTTCCGCCGATTTTGTTACTTTTGTAGTACATGATTAAGCCAGACGACTAACATAGCCTCTGTATTTTTATTTTGAATACACATATATAAAATACTAGCGATGTACGCACTCGTGCGAATTATGCCCAATGTAGAAAAGATAAATTATCACACATGTTTAAATTGAAACGATGTATGTGAATATGGTTTTTTTTCAAAGAATGTGTAGATTAAAGAGTAATACGGTTTGTGGTTCAAGAGTAACATGCATTTACAATTAAAAAAATATTAAATAAAATGTAGATGCAAAAATTTGCATTGGAATACCTTTTATATTTGGCAATACCAATGTACAATAGTGCAACAACATTTAATATAATTGCACTTTATTGAATATTTTACTAACACGTGCAAAGATTAAGTATACCGGTATTTCAAAAAC